TAAAAACACCACCTCTCTCTCCAAAAGAAAAATAAAAAAGGGCAAAAAAGCAGCGGTGTGGGGTTACCGCTGTCCTTCAGAGGCAGCTTTTCCAGAAAGGCCACTCAAGTTCCTGGCAGATTTTGAAATCAGGAAGGCTAAGCAATACTTCAGCAGGCAAAAGAAAAACACGTTGTGAAAAAGTTAACGAGTCGTAATGCGCAGTGAGTTTTAATGTAAAATAAGTTGTTTCAAGTGTTTGGATCTTAAAATCGATTAAGTCCTTTAAGGATGAAATACGGATGTGTTTGTACAATATTTATGGACCTCCCAAACTGTCTAAATTCGGACACAGGCTGACAAGTCGTATTCTGGCCTAACAAAGCTTCCCAAATCAAGGAGAATTCCCGAAAGACAAGACCACCGTTTTCCGATACAGAAGACTGGCAATACCACACAGGCACAGCAAAAATCTCAGATTTAAAAAAAAAAAAACCTATCATCACCACAAAACAAAAAAACACCCCAAAACCACAACCAAAAATGAACAGGCATAAATAGGGCCTATGGTAACCATGGGCTTAACTTGTCTGAGGTTTGCTGTTACTTATTTGCTCACAAATTTGTGTGCTTTTTTTTTTTTTAAGTTTCTAGCTATGATGTTTGAATTAAGGGTATGGCAAGCTTTTCACCTAAGTAAATGAATGCAGAAAATGGGCCTTCATATGTGAATTATTTAAAAACATATATTTTAATATTTATTCTGCCTAGTTTGGCCTTGAACTTTTTAATTTTCCCAAGCAATTTTTTTTTTATTTTATTTTGTATCCCCCCTTTTTTTATACCAAATAGGTCAGCTTGTATTTTCTTATGCATTCATTATATTTTTCACTACATGATGCAATAAGAGGTGTCTAAACGAGCTTAAAAGTTACTCAGTCACACCAGAGTCATGTTTAAGCATAGATTTAAATAAATGCAGTCAGAATAAATTTGTTCTGTAGTTGTGTTAAGGCAATCAGCTTTTATCTGAAAGACATTTGATAACTTACTATGCAAAAGAATGCAACTGAAGCTTCATTTCTGGCTTCACATAATGTTTTTGGTTCCATCTAAGATTTTTGCTTTATTACTATTGCATAGTTTATAATTATAGTGTTAAGAACTGTTTTCGGTAGATGTTTTAATCACAGCAACTAATGCTTGGAACGAGCCTGCTTCAATCTGTTGGTAACAGAGGCCTACAATTAATATGCTTAAATATGAAGGTTTTCAGTTGTAATCTCCTTTAGAGAATAAACATGCCTTCAGAGTAATGGTTTGCTTTGGGGATTGTTTATTGAACCTGGATTAGAAAGCTATCGGGCCATTACGAACTGTTTATCGCAATTCTGCCAGTTGACAATTGGTATACATTTGAGAGATTATTGCGGAAATCTTTATGGGACCATCACAGGCCAACCATTAACTGGGACAAATGTGAAATCCAGTCAGACCATCACCATCAAAATGATACTACCTGTGCACTGCTGCAAGTTAGGTTTTCAGTGTCTGTATAAAGGCCTCAGAAGCAGAGAAATTTGCCAATCTAGACATAAAGCATCTCAATCCCACAACATAAAACTGAGAAAAGAATTCTCCAGGCTTTCATTTTAACGATAAATATTAAGCACTACAATACCACATCTACCTGAGAACACTACAACAGCTGTGTCCCCCTAAGATGTTGATCCTTCAAAATTCAACCCTCAGTTCTCCTTTTGATTTCAGTAAGACGTGTAAGAGGGCTCTGGTGCTGGAGCTGGTCCCACCAAGGCTGCCTGCCACCTTTCCTTCTCTGATTCCTGTCTCTGAAATACCCTTCAGCTGGAGGTGGAAAGAGGGGCAGGGGTTTGGGAAGAAGCCATTCAAAAAGCACTGGGCAGGGGGTGTTAACTGTGACAAGGCTCAGGAGAATGGTGGAAAACAATACTGATAACCAAAAATGGGATTGTTTTACTCTCTTCCAGCAAGGGCCAGGAAAAATTGCTTCAGATGTGAGTTACGATTCTCAAGTTTCCTCAGGACACACAGTAGTAAAAAATGCTTAAGAGGAAATATAAAATAGTTGGCTATGTAGAAATTTAATATGAATAATATTATCTGTACTCTGTAAAATCTGAGTGTTGTCAAAGTGGAATTTGAGATTTTCTACCGGACTGAAGTCTCAAATAGCTCTAATTAACAGCTAGGAAGGCCTCTATAGGCTATGTTTACTTGCACGGTGTTACATACTTCAGTAGTCCCGGGAAGTTCAGTGGTACTGACTGGCCTTGGGAGAACAGGTTGGCTTTACAGAGGACCTCTCTCCAAATGATGAACCCCTCTAAGACTGGAGGCACTGAACTTAGTATCCCAAGATACTAAGTTATCTTTAATTTAATAAAAGATATTTTTAAAAAAATACTTAAGTTCAGAATTGGTGACCATTCGAGTCCCCTGAATTGTTAGTAACCAGGTTATTGCTGCCCGTGATATTATGAATTACTGGTATTACTGTGTGTACTGATATTTAAGCTAATACATCTGGAGACTCTTGAGATGATACATCTTAAGATCTGTTTACTCTCTCAACTGTATGCTTTCTCAATGCCACATGAAAACTCGGGTCTCGCAGTAGAGCCCTCAAATAAGTCAAATCTATGGAACTAAATTCAGGTTATAGCCAACCTGTCTTCTTTCAATTAATGATCTGTAAACACTTCCTGAAACATTAGATTTTACTATAAATCCTTTGACCTTTATTTTTCACTGTTACATAATGTTGTTTGCATATTCAATGTCTGTCTTGCATTTTTTCACCTTCCTATTTTTCATTTTACATGAAAATGTGGCTGACAAGTAAAATAAATCCCATCTCAGAAGTGTTCTCATTCCAATAAAGACAAAAAAATTAACCAAACTTCCATTGACCAGGTAAATAAAGTTCTTACATTCATTTTTACACTGTTTCTGTCCATCTACTTATCTCTTTTAATGTAAAAAGATGCAGATTTTGATTTTTTTAAAATATAAATAATAAAAAAAGACAATTCTGATACCAGTACCTATCTTTCACAGAATTAAACCCACTTTAAATTTACCAAACCACTTATGCAGCATTAAGGGAAAAGTATACAAATATTTCCAATATTCAGGAAATACAGCCTTAACACACTGCAGCAGTAAGAGCTGACCATGAACGCCCCTAAATTTGTTGAGCTCTGAAATACTTACAACATTTCTGGTCAAAGTTGATCTTTTTCAGTCCCGCAGCTAGATCTAGCAGCCCAGCTGTCCGGGGAACTCCCATGTTACCGTACCATACCTAGCCATCTCTGTGCTTAAGACAAGTATTACTGTTACTTTGGGGTCATTTTACCATTATTTTTTTATAGGTGCTGTAAAAAGGTTTGAAAAACGAGTCCTATAAAGTTGCCAACCCAAGAAGGTTGAGAAACGTTATGATAAATGGCTTTAGCAGAGGCTTCGGAGGTGGGTGGGGTAATG